CCTTCCTCCTCCTATTTTCCCCACAACAACAACCCTGTGAGGTGAGTTGGGCTGAGAGTGAGTGATTGGTCCAAAGTCCCCCAGCTGGCTTCATACCTAAGGCAGGACTAGAACTCACAGTCTCCTGGTTTCTAGCCTGGTGTCTTCACCACTAGGCCAAACTGGCTCAATTTCTCATGCTCAAATTCACTAGCGTGACATTTCACCCCCCTTATTTTTAAAAAGTCAATGTTTCACCCAACTCAGAGTGGCATATCTAAATATGTATATGTATACATGGCAGCCAGTGCCATGTTATTAACTTTCTCCTAACTCAGTGGCAGTTGAAGGGCAGCATAATATGATCATAGCCTTATAAGAATTCAGGATGCAGTTAGGAAAATGTTAACAGAAACCCGCACATTCCTCTGTGGTCTGGAAAATGGGCGGCCAGAGAAGGGGTATTACAAAGAAACGGAAGAAATCTCCACTCGAATGAGATAAAACAAACTGAGTTCTAAAATAAAAGTAATTGAGTAATTGAAATTGTAGTAACCTGATCTCTTCTCTGCTAATAACTTAAGGAAGGATGACAATTTTGTTCTTGATGAAGTTGGTTGCTAGGAGTTTGATCCATAGATACATAACCCAAATCATGAGTGTGATTGACTGTAGCTTTCAAAATAGAGCCTTCCTGAGAAGCTATGGTATAGGCCATTGCCATCAGATATTCTTGTTTCACCAGGATTTGATTTTTTTAAAAAAATTCTGCATTGCTAGGTTTTATTAATTGCATTTCAGCTATTTGTGAAACTACTTCCCCTTCTTTTGGTTAAAAACAGGAAGGCTATCTGTGGAGACAATATTAGATCCAATGTTCTTTGTTTTTATATAAACAAACACATTTTTAATCTTGCAATCTTTGAATACAGATATTTTCCCCTACCCCAGGTGTACATTTCCATTGTTCAGTCAGACAGTGCCAGCCAACAGAGAGATGTGGAGGACAGAGCAACCAGCTGGGACTCTGAAACTCTAGATGAAGCCTTGGCTCAGTGTAATCAGAACATAGAGACTATTCCATTTCTAACTGATTTTCGAAAAGGTATAGTCCTTAGAAGCTAAGTAAATAAGTATTTAATAGTCTGCATTTATCTGTTTTCAGTTGTATTCAAGATTGGTTAACTCCTGTTTGCTCAGAAGCCTGAGAATCATGTTTAGTTTGTATGATCTCTTTTCCAAAGAAGCTCTTTCACATGTATGAATATAAAAGAGCCGTGCTGGATTGGGCCATAGGCCCACCTTGTCCAGCATTCAGAAGCACACAGTGGCCAAATGGAGAGATTTGGGAAGCTCACAACCTCCTCCACTGTCAATTCCCAGCAAACCAGTACTTAAGGCATGCTGCCTGTGATTCAGGAGGTAGTAAACAACCATCTAGTACAAATAGCCATTGATACCGTGATTTTTCATGGAACTCTCGAGTTTCCTTTCAAAACCAGCCAAATTGGCTGATATTACCACAAAGAGTAAATTGCAGCCATGTCTAAGAGAGCCTTTTGACAGGTTGCCAGTTGTGCCCATTCCTGGACTGGTAGACTGTGCTGTCTGCCTGTCTGTCTGTCATCTTCCCCACCATTTCGACTTTCATTGTTTGCTGTTCTAAAGTCAAGCATGACTGTATTGGATTTGCTTGACAAGCATCCACACATTGAAGGTTTCACAATTATGATCACTGTTCCCAGCAGTTCAGTATGTTTTAGGTCCTGGGCAAGCATTGTGTCTCCCTTGTTGGCTGGTTCCCCACCTTTTAGTTCCTGCCTGAATTTGAATGGATGACCCTAAGTTCTCACTTTGCAAGAAGTTTGTAAGAAACAGAAAACCTATGTAATTTCCTATTAAAATTCTTTAAGAACACTTAGATGAATCTTTTTTTTTTTATCTTATATTTAGAATTTGCTATTTTTTTTGCCAGAGATTATGCTCCTTTTTGTTCTTTTCATTCTTATTTGAACAAAGCTTCCATTTTTTTAAAAAGAAGCTTTCTTCCTTTAATAGCATCTTGACCATACTTGTTAAACATTCTGGTGTCCTTTTAGATTTCTTAGTATTTTTCCTGATCCAAGGCATATATTCTAATCGAGATTCTGTTATTGGTTTTGAAAAGTCTTTAAGCACTCTGGAAAGAATCCATCATGATAGTCCTGGTTCAGCATCCTATTCTAGAACACACAACCACTTTAAAGGCAGGCACCAGCGTGCACCACAACTACCAATCCCCCTAGATTAGATGGTGTATGATGTCTACATCCTTCACATAAATCAGCCAGATTGGCAACCTGTCACACACCCATCTGTATGCAATTGAATCTCATGCTATTAGAATCCCCCAGAGGTATATCCATAATGTGTGAGGGTACTTATTTGCCGTCCAAGATCTAGGTACCTTCTAAAAGATTCTTTTCATCCAGTTTCATTCTTTGTGATGGCCAAAGTGTCACAGTTGGAGTAGGATACATCTATCTCATTTTCAAAAGGCTGTCACCAGTCTCTTTCTCTCCATGTCACTTTTGTTAAATTGTCTTGGCCTTAAGGGAACAAATTTGCTTCTAAAAGCCAGCAGATTACACTAATCGCTCATCCATGACTTTTCCAGCAGCAAGACAGTCGTATAGCACTCAGTACAATATAGTGGATAGGACCCACACCCTTTCCCTCCCATATCTGTACCTAGGAAATGCAACATCCCCTCTCCTTTTGAGTTTTATTTCTTACTACAAATATTTTTTTTCAGTTAGAGCACTAAAAACAAGAAAGCTATCATCCTTCTTTGTCTTCAGATTTTGCTGTGTTTTCTCTTCCTCTTCGCTTTTCAAACTGCAAGTAAGGAATTGTTTGCTGAGCTAACCTACAAAGAAGAAAGCACAGCAAGATCAGAATTAGGAGATCAGAGACAATTAGTGCCTTCAGGCTAAGCTGCCAGGGAGATCCCTGTTGTGAGTCTTCTAGGCAGTTCAGATTACTTTGGAGCCCACTCAGCTTGGCACAAGCCTTCAATATTAGCCCTTTCTCTGAGGCTCTCTCCATATTAGCATTGACAACAAGACCGAGGCCAGTATGTAGCACTCATGCTTGGCCCTTTCTGGCTTGCTGTCAAAATGCTCCAGCTCTGCCTCTACTTTCCCAATCAAAATTGAAAGCACTCCTTTGCTCACCAGATGGCAGCAAGCGGCATTAAGTACTGCAGTTATATTTCTAGATAGCTGACGGGCTTGTGAACTAAGCAAGTTTCTTTTTGTACTCCTTGGCAGTAGATGAACTTTTTCTCCAGAATTGCAACTTCAAATTTTTCCTTACATTTTTTTTGCTCTAAAATAATAGTAATTGCTGAATAAACAAACCTGGACAAATGATCTCACTTGAATAGTTTGGAGCTATCAATCTACCATTCATTTCTACTTTCTTCTTTCAGTCCTCTCATGCTGTCATCAGGATAGCCAGTGCCAAAGACATCCCATCTAAATAGCAAAAGAGTTGGATCCTAACCTGAGTAGAATGTTTATTCCGTGACATCTAATCAAACTGGCCTTATTTTGGAACTGGGAGAAGCATTCTAGGGGCTAACATACCAAAATTCATAGCAGGATTCCTATATTCTGAGCAAGTAGGAGGAGTTATGCCACCTTGGATAACAAGCAACTGTCCATTAAGCATCATTAAGCATCAGCATTGCTGATCGTTTTAAAAGGAAAATTCAATCCTTTCTTGCTTTGCAAGCACAGTAGGAAAAAACAGATTTACAAAAGTCAGTTATCTGTAACTGAATATGCTTTTGGAGCAGGCCTGTTCCATCTGATGATGAATGCTTAACTAATTTAGGATTCCTAAAAAATAATGTTTAAAGCTGATCTCTAGTGTAAACTGTTAAATATTTCATATAAATTGAATGGCATGCTTTCCTTGTAGACATGCCTTGCCTCGCAGAATATAGAGATGGTTTGTGGTATCGAGCAAAACTCATTTCAGTTAATGAGTTCAGTCCTCTTTCAGTTCTGGTGGAATTTGTTGACTATGGATCGACTGAAACATTGCCCACAAGCAGGTAAACCTAGAGATTGCTCTTTTTTCAAATTGCTTTAATCAAGATTGATAATTCAAAAACTAGAAATATTGCTCTACAGTAAGTGTTACTGTTTTAGATTTAACTACCTAAGGTTCATAGATTGTCAGCTTGTATGTTTGACTTGCTAATCATGTCTCAGGTTACGTCAGATTCCTCCTAAGTTCATGCAATATCCTGCTCAAGCATTCAGAGTTTTGCTGGCTGGATTTAAACCTGCTTTACATGATTCAGCATCAGAGAGAATTCCGTATTGTCCTGAATGGAGCATAGAAGCATTATGGGCCATGATGGACTCCTTCCAAAGCAAAAATATCAGTGCTTCTTCAGTGGTAAGCCTTTCTTTATCTTTGATTTATCCTACCTGTTCTGTTCACCTGGGAACTGTATATTCCTTCTGTATATAAATCTCTCCATTGATGCTACTTTGAAGAAATAAAATCGAGGTGGAGATTAAAAGCCAGAACCACAGTTTAACTCCTTGATAAGTAGGATTTGTACTCAAAGCTGAAAATGTTTCCTTTTCAGCTTTGTGAAAGGTGGCACAAAAATTTTAAATTTATAGTATAGTGGGCAAAATCCATTGTTTCTGGTTGGGTGCTGTTTCCTTATGTCTGCACCGTGTGGTGAAGCACAAAAGGTAGGGCTTGAACTGCCGTTGCCACCTTCCAGACTTGCAAATTGCTACCTAGATATTTATCACCGTGTCAATAGGAAAAATTCTCCCCAAATTCTTCAAGCAGACAAGCCCAAAAGTATATCACTGCTTTATAATGTTTTGCTGAATCTTGTCTGGTAAGCAGACAGGATTCAGATAGTGAAAAGGTGGGATTTCTTGTCTGTATTGTACTTGTTGTTTGGAAACCTTGATGTTGTTTCCGAAACTTTACTTTTGTTTTGAAACATTTTGCTTCCAAGACACATTCACCAGAGCATACTGTATTTTTATATGAAGACAGACGCCTATTTCATATGAAGCTTGTGGAAATGGGATTTGCAGAGCTGAATCAGTGATAGGTAAGCATGCAGTACTAGTTATTATTTATGTCTTTACCAGCATTAAAAAAAGCCGCCTGATCTTGCTGAAAACTTGCAAAATTTAGAAAATAAAAACTTTATTGAATGGATCCAACTGATTTTGATGAAAGTGATTTTTTTAAAAAAAATATTGGAATTATTCTAGGAAATGCTTTTAAACAATGTGTAAGCCCTAATATTTCTAGGAATAAATAAAATAGCAATTTTAATTTTTTAAGAAGTCAGTCATAAAATCAGCCACATATGCAGGTGGACTTAAACTGAAGGTGCAAAGAATTTTATCTACAATTCAAGGGTGGGATAAGTGGAGACCACTTGGTTACTACCCTGAGAACCTTTTTTCCATGTTGCATATATGTCTTTATATGCTATTAGCAGTTCTGAGTTAAAGTTTCTTGGCATGCTGGCTTACAATGGATCAAAGTGAAGTTTGATAAATTAGTGAGAATATAATTTATACTGCCTATCAAATTAAGCAACAAAAATGAGTAGGATGCAAAATCTGAATCTACCAATAAAAAGAGAGATCCTGTTTGTCTGAAGCATTTTTAATTTTGGAGTATTTGGACTCATTCATGAAATAGTCAAATATTTTCCTCAGCTGATTTGAAAAGATGGAATAAGCAATGGTAAAACAAAATATGAGAGGAAAATATCAAAACTTTCGGTAGAATTCTGTGAATAAGGCAAATATCTTACTTGTATTCCTTTTTGAGCAGTATTTAATGAGGTTTTTCAAATTAAGCCTATCTAGAAACCTTAGCTTGTTTTCAGTGAGTGGTTGCTATTTTAAATATTCAGTCATGAGATCAAGTACACTGCATATGTTGACAAGTTGTACCATCATAATTGTAGACATCTAGAATTGGGTTCTGTTATCAAACTTTGTTCTGAGAAGTCTTAGATCAAATGAAAACTTGCTTTCCAGGGAAGGCTGTTGGAAAAAAGAGCCCATCAGAAGTGGTGCTGGTGGAGAAAGAATAATGGAAAATTAAAAATAAAGGAACAGAAAAAGAACATTGAATTAAAGAGAACAAAGCAGGAAAGGAAATTTAGTCAAAGGACAGATGCTAATTTTATATGTGTGAACAATAAACATTTGGAAGCAGTTCAACCAAATGGTCTCTTTTTTACAATTATTACTGCAGTAAGATAGGGACTCAGTAGCAATTCCAAATAGATGCTGTTCACTGGAAAGTTTGTATCTTTAGTTTTACATTCCCAGGTGTTGAGACAATGGGAATAATACTGTTTGTTGTTTGTTTGTTTCAGATGTGGATGACCTTGGTTTAAAAAAAAAAGATCAGTGGTTTTGTATTAGATTTGCATTAGATTTATATTTTTTCCTACATTCTAAGAATTCTGCACAGAAGTGTCAATTTTTTGTTACATTGTTCAAGTACTGAATGTTGTTGAAATAAAAATACTTGGTTTTGCATCAAAATATCTTTATAGCAGTTTGTTTTATTTGATAAGTAGGGTTAGGGAAAATTTTTTAATTTGAACTGCTTTGAGCATGGAACTTCCTGCCTCAAGTGCAGAAACTGCTGCTTCAAATG